ATGACAAAGAGCGGGGGGCTTGTGAGACCCTATTGTCACCTAGATCTCTAAGATCCTCTGCGACTCCCGCTAGTTGTTAATCGACCAAGCTGCTAAAACCTGGCATTTGCTGCCAGGCTACACAAATGGCCGATTTTAATTATTTTCAGGTCCTCGGGCTCCACAAACATGGAGCCCAAAAATCTGAATCTCTTGAATGCTAGAGACGGGCAGCGACACAATATGTGCACGCTGTTCTCCCTCTCTTTGCCACAAAATCTACAACTACTCTCCTCAACTAGGCCTAAGTTGAATAAATGTGCCTTGAAGGCCCAATGCTCTGTGAGGAGACCGATACACAGTCTTTGCCTGTACTTACTCATTGTCAGTAGTTCTTTGGTCCTACCTGGCAATGGCTGAGTCATCAGGGCCTTAGCTTGGTGGCAGCTCTTGAGTATCTCCCAAGAGATCCTGTGCTCCCTTTTCAGCCAGTCCTTGATATGGTTTTTCCCTGTTGCAAAGGGAATTCCAACTATCTGGCAGACTGGTTCCTCTAAGATACAGACGGCGTCATTAATTTGAAGAATAGGCGCGGGGATCGGAGGGCAAGCGGGGCGGTTGCTCGTAGCGCCAACGGGCGTCGTACTAACTAACTAGTAGCAATCGGGTGTCCACAACTGGACACCCGATTTTGGGACTAATGGATATTTGGATCAACTGGACTTTTTATGTGATCCCCGCGCCTATTCCTCGACTTAATGACGCCGTCTATACCTAGTTTTGCCAGACTATCAGCCACTTTATTTCCTTGGATACCTTGATGGCTAGGTACCCAGACAAGCGTGATGTTGTTTTGCTCGTAGTCCAGTCAATAGGGAAAAAATCATGCAAAAATGTTTAACCGAAATCCGATTACATTACCTTGTAGTGTGCGCTTCACTGATAAACCCCTATAGTCGTGCAACCAAAATTTTTTGTCAGCACTTGTTATAAATGATGATTGAAAGTGCTGAAAATGGGTTTTTTGCTTTTATCGAAGAAGAACTGCTAGCTAGGGAAAAAAGCTTTAAATAATAGTTG